GGTAAAATATATAGTGACTGGCTTAGCAGCACAAATTTTACGTGACTGGCTTTCCCATGCAAATGCGGTGGTGACTGCATTAGCATAGCATTTTTTACGTAATTATATTTTAGTATTTTTAAGAAAAAAAGAGATATATACGTTCAGATATGTCTAGGCTTAAGATTTTTACCAACATATATTATATATATATCATAGTCTTGAAATATATTGGGGGGTGCAACTGACTGACTTCCAGTGTATATTTTATGTGACTGGCTTCCCGGGCGCGGCCGTGTATATATATACCTATATATATACATATATAAAAATTTGAACGAATGGTGTTTTTGGCCTCTGGGGACATTAAAATGAAAAAGTAAATCGGTCCCGGGCCTAAGTCTTACCATGAGACCTACGGTAATAGCTACTTCCCTATAGGGAAATTCGCTAAAATAAAAAAAATTATAGTGCTGCACCCTGTTGGTAATCCTTGCAACTTTAATGCTATTGTACATCATAGAACAGAACCAACTTGTTCAATTGAAACAGCTGTTAAGATTCATTAATTCCTTTTAAATATGAAAAATCATAAGGTTAACATAGAAAACTCCAGAGCCACTGGGGCGGAGCCCGAAAGCCCAATCAGAATAAAAACTACTTAGTTTTCCTATTTAATGCCCAAAGAATCGGTGTACCGAATTTCAGCCTCCTTGGTAAATGGGAAGTGGGAGAATTAGTGATGAGTGAGTGAGTGAGTGAGTGAGTGAGTGAATCAGTCAGTGAGGGCTTTGCCTCTTATATATTTAGATAAACAAGTTTTAAGTAGGGACCAAGACAAAATCTTGTTAGATGCATGATGGATTGCTCACTTAGTTGTCAACGCTAGTTTTTCTGCTCAACCCTAAGAAAGTAATGGTCTGACGCTTATCCGAAACGTGCAGCTTCATACGTAACTTCTGCTCTCCTGTTCTTTGGTTTTTAATATGTAATCATGAGCCTAAACACCTTTTTAGGTTCATCATCCGGTTATCTGTATGTGGTTTTTTAAGTTCTGCCAATATTTGGGGTAGGCTACACAGGGTGCAAATCGTCGTTTCTTTATTATTCCCCAAACTGTTAGAGAAAAATAAAACTACCATTCTAAAAGCTATTCTTATCATATGGATTCATAAATCTGAAGCAAATGCTGTAATATTTACCATCGAATACGGGAGTCTCATTTAATGATATCAAAGTTTTATGCTTACCAGACATTAACAACGCTGACTACATAAACAGCGCTGATACAGTATTTTCCAACAGGACGAGGAACTTTCTTGCAGAAAGCCCCCAGGGCCCCATCCAAAATAAAGTCTTTGGTTTTCAGTAGGCAATTCATCCTACACACACAATTTTCATCATCGCTTTATACATAATGGTGTTTCGGTGTCGTAGCTCAATAATTTTTCATTTCACCCATTAATCGGAAGAAATGATTGTATACAAAGTTCTTTTGCGTGTAGGGTAAACATGAATGAATGGAAACTTTACCATTGCATTAAAATGAAATAAAAAAATCTGAATCATAAATAATTGTATCAGTAAATAATGGGGTTTAAGACCTAATTTGCCCGTCAACCCCTGGAACCCCATAAAAAGAACACCCAAGACAGCCCAATCCAAACCTCTACCATTTACGCACAACGATCTCCGCCCCAACAATTCATTCGTGTTTCGCCCCTAGATGGCGTCCTGCCACGCGATGTTTCAATGTTGGTCCCAGCCGCTAAAAAATGTATACACAGTATAAAGATGAAGCCACGTACTCGTATATGGCGGAGTGTATAGAGCTGGGCTGAATTATTGAACGGCCGCACTTGGATACTTCGTGTAGTAGTTTGGACGTTTATGCCCTCGTAGATTATTGCTGTCTCGTTCCAAAACATTATTTTTATTTCAACGTACTTTCAGTTAAATAATTGTGGTTACATACAATATTAATTAAAATATGAGCATTTTTCCATCAACCTTTAATTTTGACAAATAACAATGGTTATGTTGATTGTAAAAGAATAATTTTAATGTTCATATAAAATATTTTTAGCTACATAGCTACAATTTCCATAAATATGATAAATCATCAATGGCGGAATTAAACTTAGACATTGCTATGATGTTTAGGAATATTTTAAACAGAATGCTGACACATTTTAGTTAGTGTTTTCTATGTTAGTTAAGCTCTCTTCAACATCTTGGTTTCTCATTAGGTACACTTTTTAGAGTTTAATTAAATTTATCATCGAATCGATAGAAAAAGTTATGCTAGTAGCCCATAATGGATAAAGAATGGTCATACGATAAAATCGATCTTATTCTGTTTACTTAGCTTGCTATCGGTACGTTGCTTACATGTGAAGGATTTATTCCTTAATTTAAGGCCCATTGTTCCTGCATATTCTAAAGTAAGCTTTAGTCCAGTTGAAAAAAAACAACAAAAAACACGAGACTGCGAGAGGTGACCCACATAGACATGGTTACCTGGCCATAGAGTTATGATGATGGCAGTAACTATACTTCCTTCGCTTCAATGTGGGAAAAGTTGGTCACAGTTTGCGGGGGAGTGACCCGAAATGAGATAATTGACGAGGTACAGGACCTTTGAAGGTACGGAGGTAAGTGGAGGTAATGACGTTGCCGATGCAGTGCGACCGAGGAAATGCACCATAAAGATGGGAGATACTGAGCATGACATGGACCATCTTTGGCCACAAGAGTTCATGTTTCATGTCTTGGTTGAACCATGGTCAACCGCTTGCTTCAGTAATGCACAGCTAGGAAGAATCCTAGGATCATGCCTCTGAGATTGTCCGTAGTAAAAGTCAAAACGCGAAACCATATTCTGGGCTACCTCTTTGATTTAGTTGTTTATATCCTAATTTAAGTTCTAAGTCGTCCATAAAACGTATAAAATGGTTTGTGGCAAGATGTATGGATGAGTTCAATATTTCCGATATACGTTTCAAAAGAGATGCAATAAAACAAAACACTTGGAATAAAACACGTCGTGTTAACAGTCATTTTACTTTACATTGAACTTGAACTAGACTAGTTAAGGACATTGACTAAGAATAATAAAAATCTTACTTGAAATAAAAAAATTTCGAGTAATAATCCAAATAACTTTCTATATCAACGAAAGGGTCGATTTGGACTTGTAAAGTTAATTATTATAGCACCGTAGTCCCACCGGACTACTGTGTAATCAAAAGTGTACGAATTAATTATAATTTAGTGATATACAGTAAAAGTAAATAATTTAGTTATTGGTTATTACTTTTCCATGTATTTTTGAGCTTGTTTACAGAATGGGAGCTGTGTTCTAGAACCAAAAAGTATAAGCACAACGCATTTATATTTCTTTTATGTTGATGGAACAAAGTTCATAGACGAAACATATCATAATAACTGTCGGTTTATGTCTAACGAATACGTCGAATGCATTCGTACTACAGGAGTGGTCTTTAATAAATGGCATTCCTTCTCTATGCAGTATGCAGTCAACGTAAAGGAACATTTAATGTGTAGGGTTGGTACTTCTGAATCAGCTGTGTATTGCTCCAACCAATAGCAATAGCGCCTCTGTTTTTCTGCCATGTTGTTGTCTGTTGTTGTCGTTGTGTCGTGTTTTGTCAAACAAAATATCATCTTCGCCACCGGTTATTTTCCAGAAGAAATTGTTTGCGGCAGTTTCATTCTTTTCTTTGTGATTTGTTCTTGTATTTAAGTGTTAATTTTGTTTAATCATCCGCTTCTTCTTAAAAATGTGACGAAAACGAATAATTATCAGGTTTGTTGTGATTATTTTGAGGTTAGTGTATGTTGAATGGTTGAATTTGTGTCAGGCCAAGTTCAAAGTGGTGGTAAGTTATATAATATTGTTATTTACCACTCAATCCTACATAATATGCCAATTCTTAAGCCAACCAAGATTCCTTTTAGAGAATAAGCACCGAAATTAGACTTAGTTCCTACGATTTTTTCTTTATCCATAACTTATCATATTTTGATGATCGTAGGCCTTTGAGGACCACATTCTAAAATTTAGCCCAATTTACTCAATGAATAATTCAAATTATTGAATTTACAATCGGCAGCTCGCAATTCTTTTCTTTGAGATCTCTTTAAAATAGTAAAGCATGTCAAGTGGCTTAAGTAGGCCTATGTTGTGCTGGACATTGTTGAGAGTAACTAAATTAGCCTATCTAAAAGATAAATATTGACTGACTGCATGTTTACAACCTCTAATTGTTCGTCCTAACACTTGTTTATAAAACAACTTGGTCATTTTAATTTTTTCTTTCAATGCACAGTCTGTAGGGTACCTACGTCCAGTTGTACATTTTCACTATGTTCTTTCTAGTCCGTAACTTACATGGTCATATCGAAGCTTTTAAAAACAACTAAACTTAACATTGTTAAGTTAGGCTATTTTAACTTAGCTTAACTAACACCCAGGCTAAATATAACCCAAACACATTTGGTAAAAAAAACTATTATTAGGTCTTTCTTATCATATTAGGGATCATTTTCTTTTTTGTTGTATAACCGCAGGTAACTTAAATCCCCTCATAAGTTTAGGCTAAGTTTATTCGATCTCAGGCTATCCTACCTCTAATTGTCCAGCCACTTTTTCTAATTGAAAATATAGGCCTAAGTTAAAGTAGCCTAATACTGATTGTTTACAATAGAAAGTTAACTTAACTTTCTCACGGTTCATCATACTCTGTTTTGCAGCAGGTTAAATATTTTAATACCATTTTTAAAAGGCCTATGGATAAGAAGGGGCACACCGTGCTTTTACTTAAACCATGAGAGCTCCAGCTGACTAACCCTAATCCCTTTTTACTCTATAGCTAATAACATGTAAAGGATCCCTAATATTATTTTGGGGACCTAAAGCAAACCTCGATTATATTTGGCGACTTGAGTTAGCTAGGCCTACTAGTGTAGGTTATTAATAGTGGTTTGTTTTGAAACAGAAAGCGGTGGCGGAGACGGAAGGAGAGGCACTGTTGGTGGAGAGCGTCGCAAGACTCATCCTCCAGCTCGGAGGACGAGCCTACGCACCCCTCGTATAGCTATCACTCAGACACAGAAACCAACATGCCGTGTGGTAAATATCCAACATAAAAGATAACATGCTAGCCTATATTTTATCACGTTGTTATGTTTATATATGTAGCCTAATAGAATTTATGTTGTCAGCTGCTAGATGATTGTATACAGTAGTAGGCGAGAGTTAAGAAGTCCTCTGAGCCAGAGTGATATTCAGCAATGTTTGTATGTTGCCACGCGGTATTTGTAGGTGCTTTTTTGGTTTTAACGCAGTGGATGTGAGCCCTGACTGCCACATTGGACATGAGTAACCTGCCCGGCGCGCCTAGCAGTCGAGTAGCAAGAGCCTGCAGTTTTAGAATAGGCCAGGGCTCAGAGGACTTCTTAACTCTCGCCTACAGTAAACTCCTCCCAATTCAAATAACCTTCATTAGAATATTCTGGTGAACTAAGACAGTACTGTAAGCAGTGGATTAGTGGGACTGAAACAAGTGTTAAATGCCACTCCGATTTTTCCAAAGAACCTATATTTTTCCACGACGACCTTGGTGAGCATTCCCCACCTGTAAAATTTACAACTAGACCTATACCACTGGCTGTGTAGCCTGATTCATGGGTAGTGTGTGGTACCTTAGTTTTAGAGAAAAAAAATTGAGAATCAGGATTGTGAGTGGTGTGCTTAAAAACAGGCTATAGGCCTAAAGCTGCCTTGGATTTGAGTGAAGCTACTAGGCTATGCCATATTTTCATCCAAAAGGCGATTTTGAGGGTCTATGACAAAATGGCCTGATTAGGCAATCTCTCCTTAGCTGACTCATTATAGGCCCTACACCAAATCCTAGTCAAGTCTCACATTTTTTTGTTTTTTTCAGGGTTTGAAAACTCAGCGATGAAGTCGAGTTTCTCGCTGTCCTCGCTGCAGCCCTCTAGCACCAATCTAGAGAGTCCAGAGCACGCGAGGGTGGTGGAGCGACCCTACAACTCCCTCAGGAAAACCTGCAGGTACAAAAAGTCTTCGTACCTTCATCAAATCTTCTGTAAACTATTCAATCAATCAAAAATTATGCAATAAATTTAGTATGCCTATTTGCAGTCAGTGAAACAGAAAACATATTGAATGCAAATTTTAAGATTTCTTTCAAATTGTTTACAAAGCATTAATTGGGCTTGCAACGTTAAAAGTGATTTTACCTGCTGCCTAATTTCGAGATTGCATGGGACAGGGCCAACAAGTCACAAGTCTCCAATAAGTCCTATAAAAGACTCTTAGAGGAAACCAGCAAAATGTCCTTTGCACTACCCTGGTGTATTTTGTGTGTGTGTCGAGAGTCCTTTGAAGATTTTTGAACAGTTGCTAAAAGGTAGCTAACATGGCTTGTAATTTGTGAGTCTCCTCCCAAACAATCTGAAACACAAGATAAAAGAAAAATGAATGTATTGTTTTCAATAAGATAACACTAGGTAATTATTTTATTACAAAGTATTAAGTCAATAAAAGTACTGACCTAACAAGTAGTATGATTAAGGAGTTGCAAATATTGTAAAGTATTTTCCTTATAATTAGGGAATTTTATATCATAATCTGTAACGACCCAAAACCCGTCAAGGGGTAAAAACCCGATTTTTAAAAGTTTCATTTTAAATATTATAATTGTCTACGTTCGGGGTAAGCCGCGCCCGCGTTGTCAGCGGCATCGTAGGGGCAAGGGTCCTACGTCATCGTAGAGGGGATGACGCTAATTACCTACCCCGCCGCCAGGGGCGATGGCGAAGAAGGACCAGAAGAGCGGACCTCATGGTCAGTCGTCCACCCGCTACCGAACCGTCAGTACGCTTGCTGTTTGGAGACAATCCAACAGTCTATAACCTCCTAAATTCTGGTCAATTAAAGATTTCCCCCGTTCCTGGTAGAATCATAAGTCATCAGGTTAGTGTGCTACCGAATTTATTTTGTTTAATCTCATTTTTAGAGAAGTTTTATTATTTTTATTTTACTGTGCCGCAGTTGCGCGCACCCCGCACGCTTTTTCACGTACGAGCACACTACCTTTTGTCTTAAACCAGCTTCGGAAATCAGTTAAGTTGCCGGAACGGTTTACGTACGACTTACCTCGTTACCCCGGACCGTCCTACGTAAATTTGGTTTAAAAACCCCGTATCGACTCTGGTGATCGACCGAGTCTAATTTTCCCGACAAGTTTACTTTGGTGATTACCAAGTATAACGACCGAGTCTCGTTTTATATTAGTTAAGTTTCTAATTAATTAGGTTATTCGCATTCATCATAGGTTATTCAAAATTCTAAATTTAACTTTACATATTTTTCGAGTGGCTATGATGAGCACTTGTTGAAGGTAAGCTTGACATTGTAAGCATTATTGTTGTAATTAATATTCTGAGCCAATAAACTCGAAACGATAATTAACAAACACGTTAGAGCCCTGGACTATCTCATTGTAGGCTAAGCTATCTGGACAAATTTAAGGTGTGACAGAATTTCAGGTGAGACGACAATCACGTACTATAAAATCTCAATTTTGTCTCTCAACCCGAAATTTCGTCATATCAAATGGCGATCCGAACAGGGACTATTGAATGTTAACGATATTTTATGGCGCCCGAAGGCATAGTCGATAATTAATTGTTTTGGCTCAGAATTTAATAAATATTACACATACGAACATTACCATAATCAGTGTTGTGTACGAGACGTTACAGTGGAATATTGGTTGTATACCGTAGAACTGGATACGATTAAACGTCAGTACTGTTGTTTAACGTACTACGTTTGTTTAATAGAATTACAGGATATTTATTGGAATTTAATTGACCTCGAACTTAACCGTTTATACACCGTGTTTATTTGTACCAGTGTTTATAGATTTCCTCTGATAATTTATTGTTATTCTTTTATAATTGTTTAAGTAGGAAATGGTTAACACTGCCTTTCGATTTAATTCAGAGTATTCTGTAAGAATTGTTCTGCATCAAGAAGGCTAGTCGACCTGTCAGTTCACTAGTGTTGCGCTTGCCTATTGTTCTCTGTATGAATGGGTAAGAGATAAGAGCGGCCCGATCAGCTGTTTGATAACGGTTTGTTATTGGAGTTTCCCCGTAGTTCTTTCAATTCTAGTGGGCTTATTTCTGACAATATTTACATCCGTTGCATTGCATAATATTTATAACGCAACTGAGACGCGCTTTAAATATTTGGGATCAGAACTGTTTTATAATAATATTGTTGATTAACATATTGTTATACTTCTGGTTGTCCTAATATTTAACAGCAATTAGAATACCCCAGTTTTATTGTATTGTAATACAATATTGTTACACACAGGAAATAACATTGTTTAATATAATAATACAGGATTATTATATTTTGGATTGAGCCTAATTACGACGGTTTACGTATACGTTAGTGATATAATAATATTGTTGGTTAACATATTATTGTATTGCTCAGTAACAATTAGTTCACAACGATCATTAGGCTAACGTATTATCGGAACTTTGTTTACTTTTTGCGATTGTAAACATTGATTGTTGGGGTATTGTATCAGTGGTTTAAATATTATACTGAACATTTGCGATTAGCGACGAGCCTTACGACAGTTACACAGTCTTTTACGTATTTTTTCGACAACAACCATTGTCGTCGACTGTTGTATTTCCTAATAATAATTTAAAAATGACACCTTGGGAATTATTTTTGCGCCTTTGGACTTATCTTTTCCCAGTTATGTATATGCTGACTCCAGATGAATCAGGGAAAAGGCCCCCGCGCAAAAACAATGACCCACCGCCAACTGCTACCGCTCCCGCCGCCACAACCGCTCCCGCCGTCACAACCGCTCCCGCCGTCACAACCGCTCCCGCCGTCACAACCGCTCCCGCTGTTACTACCGCTCCCACCGTTACCACTACAACTGCCGTCACCACTTGAACGTATGTCGCTACAGCAACCACCGCTGCCACTGCCGTTACCACTCGTGGGTCTACGGAATCGATCGTGCCGCGCACGCCGTTTGACGAACCGCGCGTCGGGTGGATTTATAGACTGAGCAAAGAGGAGCTGCAGAATGAGATGAGTAAATACGGCCTTTCTACGGCAGGTACGGCAGAGGAACTTAGGAAGAGCTTTGTGGATTTTTGGCGATCGCCATTATCCGCAATTACCCGTACCGAACCCTACCGGACCGTTGACCCTCGACGCACTCTTAATATCCCGCCGGCGAATTACGGGTCGGAATACGCGTCTAAGGACAAGCTAGGCTTACATTCCGCCCTAGACGAACGTGACAGTGTACGGGAGATACTTGGGTTGTCACCGAATGCGGACTCTATGCTAGTGAGACGGGTCCTAGCCTCAATGGTGAATACCTTGAGGTCAAACGACGCGACTCCCACGGGACACTACGCGACCGACACGGTTCCCGCTCACGCCGCACCCCCTACCACGAATTATGCCGATCTGTGCTACGGTGCGGTACCACGTCCTAACGCCTCGGCAACTCGCGAGTTGCGAGATGCCGATCCATCGAGCCACGCTGGCCACTCAGGCCGCCAATCGCTAGACGGAGCCTCCATTTACAACGTCGTTCGTAAGTGGAACCTTCGTTTTGACGGTCGCAAAGACCCGGTATCGTTCCTGGAACGCTTGGAGGAGTTAATGGTGGCGTATTCCTTAACTCCAGACCAGGTCTTCAGGGCTCTGCCAGAACTGTTGACCAGCAACGCCCTATTATGGTACCGCAATAACCGGGAAGCGTGGGCCGATTTCCAGGATTTTCGTAGCCATTTCGAAATCCAATATCTACCTCTCGGTTATCGCCGTAACTTGGACGAAGAGATTCGTAAGCGGACACAGGGTGACCAAGAGCCGTTTAGAGAGTTTGTAGTCGCGTTAAGAACGCTAATTCGAAGGAGAGGATCCATTTTGTCCCACGATAAGATTGACTTGATTTATACGAATATGCGACCCGAATACAAGCTTATGGTTCGACGCCAGGACTGCTTGACTCTGACCGAACTGATTAAGCGTGCCGAGGAGTACGAGTCCTACGTTAGGGATAAGAGTACGTTTCGTCCTCCACCACCTCTGGCTATCTCTCTCATTCCTGAAACCGCGTACCACGGGCGAAGGCGTTTCGAACGTCCGATCGATAACGCCGCAGTCACTGCTGAGTCACCGCGCGAACCGAGCTCCCGGTCCTACCCGCAGCACCAGAGATACGACCGCGCGCGGCAAGGACCGAGTTCGCGACCCAAGGCGCAAAGCCTATCCGTGCCCAACTCCCACACGAATGTGAGAGGGGCGGCACTGGAGAGACCTGTTCACGTCAGCGATGGATACGTTTGCTGGAATTGTGACCGTACGGGGCACTTGTTCCGTGATTGCCCCGAACCGAGAACCTGGAAGTGCTTTTATTGTAAGACCAAAGGCATTTCGACCGCAAAGTGTAACTGCGAGGCGGGAACCGCCCACAGGATTCAGCTAAGAAGGGGACGGCCGACTCCAAATCCCCGAACCGAAAAACAACCCCCTCAACAATGGAGCGCGTGGCTCCAACGAATAAAGGATTTCCCCGTCTCGACCAATCACGATGTTGTTTCCCTCGATACAAGACCCTTCGTAACCGTAGAAACATTCAGTCAACCGTTTAGGGCCCTCATGGATACCGGCGCCGTGGTCAGCCTCATTGGTGACCGTCTCGCAACGTTACTACAATCCCGAGGGGTTCCGCCTGTAGACAGCGATGTCGATATAAGAATGGCGAATGGCATGCTGTCTCACATCACGACTGGATACCGAGTTCGCGGATTATTCGGCGGACTCGAATACAAATGGGACGCGTTGCATGTGACGGGATTGGCTTGCGATTTAGTTTTAGGAATAACGCAAGTTAACGACCTCGGCTTAGCACGATTTGAACTCACTGTAGAACGCGGTCCTGGAGAATGTTCCGGACCCGCCAACGACGTATCTGCAGTGAGTAGGC